CATTTACGAACGACCCTCTATTTTTCTGTATCCCAAACAACTCAAATTCTTCCCCGCCACCCTTAATTTGGGGAATCTTTATGGGGAGGTTCTGCGAAAATTTGGAGCGCAACCCCGTTCATAAGTGTTTGTAAATTTTGTATTCAATATATGAATTTTTTTTTTTATTGTTTCTTGTTTAATAATTTCAATCATGGTTAGCCTGTGTTATCTGAATGTGAGATATTAAATGTTAATCTTCTCTATAAATAACAGAAAGGTTTTGTACTTTTGATAAATTGAAACCCCCATATAAATAAAATATAATGTTCACACCAATGCTATTATCATTTGAGTTTTTTGTTTCGTGGTGCTTGTTAACTATTTCTTTATTTTACAAATGTTTGCACAAATGATTCCATTTTTGCTCACCAAACCTTTAAAGATTTTTTGTATGCTTTTTTTTAAAATCACTTAAAAGATGAGATAATGTGTAAACATTCGTTTTACTTTTGTTCGTTTTTTTTTTAGTTTTTTCCCAGAAGAACAATATATATTTAAAAATTTGATTTATGGTAATTATAAAATTATACTTTTCAGTTAGACTACGTAATTGAGACCGTCCTGGCAAGCAACAGATAATCCGGCAAGGGGAAGACGTTGGAACACTCGCAGGTACCACCCCTGAATGTGAAGCTGAGTGCAAGAGGTTTCAATCGTGACTGTCCCATAAAGGAGACATTTGTAAAGATATACAAAAATTCGAAAAATCAATGAGTTTTGAAAAAATTGAGTGGATGGGTGAGTGATTAGTCGACGAATAGTGAGTTGGTGAGATTGAGTGAGTGAGTGATGAGTGGAAGTGAGTGAAGTGAGTGAGTGGAAGTGAGTGGAAGTGAAGTGAGTGAGTGGTTGGAGTGAAGGTGAAAGTGAAGTGAGGGAGTATTAAAAAATATTTAAAAATTTAAGCGCTTCACTCGTTCGATCTGTTTGATAAACAGGCGGCGAATGTTCTTTGTTAAAATGCCGAACGTTATAAGTTTGAGGCTTCTTTCAGAAAGATCACGCCTGTAGGAACATTGAATAAAACCAAAAATTTTTAAAACCAAAACCACTAATCTCAACCTCTGTGAGTAATTTAACAATTCTTTCAAGATGCGAGTAAAAACCAGGATATTTGATATTCCCAGTTTGGTGGTAAGAAATCCCAGGGTCGATTTCGGGACCTCTCACATATACAAAAATCATTAAAAAAAATGTTGACTTAAGTTTTGTTTGATTTCCATTTCCTAGTATTATACACATTAAGAATTAAGTTTGGTCTAGAGAGAGTGCATTGTATAATTATTTGAAAATTCAATTTGTTATAAGTGTTTAAATCATTAATAATTGACGAATGATTTTAAACCTATTCGTACATTTTGTGTTTTATTTCAGTTGTGGTGGACACTAACGTATGGTACCACTCTACTTTCATCCATCCCGGAGAAATAAGTATTACTATTGGATCAGAATATGACTAATTCAACAAACATACATACAAGATAAAAAGAACTAGTAAAATACTGAAATCAAAACTGAGGTGTGTTAAGGAAGATAAGACTTGTCATTGTCGTTGATATTTCATATTGAGTGGTATGGTAATTTAATTATTAAAATGAAATGTGTTTGAAATTTTCGTTTTGTTGAAATAGAATTTTTCTACACATCAATTAATTCATCAGGTTTTTCTCTTGTATTTTTATATTTGATGTGCGTACATTTTTGAAATCAGCTGAAATACGAGGAGAGTTCAGAAAATATGAAAAGTTTTGTCTATAAAATAGTAATTAACCGGTTTTCATTAAAGATTTAGAATACAATACAATGCACCAATGTTACATTTTCTCCGAAAACTTTATAAATACCCAATCTAAGACAGATTGATAATATCTGCATATTCTATAACATTCTATTTTATTTTTGAAAATGAATTTTTCGCGAAAATTAATGTCATTTCATTCAATACTAATTTCATACAGTGCTTAGTGTATATAAACACTCCTCAATTTCCCATGCGCATGCGCACATAGCTTTAGATGATATACACATGTTCTAAACAGTTCCATATTTGATTTTGTAGCTTCTACGATATCACGAATATTCCATTTGGCAACGGTCTCTTTCACAAATGTAACTAACCTCTGCGTAATTATTCCTTGCCATCCAAAACGCTAAATGTTTCAACAAACATTTGAAAACTTGGTGACTTAAATTATCATTTGCCAGGTTTACAACCTTTTGCAGAATTTCATTAGTCTGCGTTGTAGAATATCCATAAACAGACTTGGAATTTTACCGGTTTTTCTATTTCTTCTGTTCAGATAGACCATCCGTAACAATAAAAATTCGAGGTATGTAAAAGTGCGTTGTATACGTTTCATTCATGACATCATACAATTCGTCAAACAATTTAACAACATATGTGAAATTGTCAAGTTGCTCTGGAATTACTAAAAAGCCTCCTTTGCACGATAAAATAAAAATGAAACAATTTTAAGACTACTTACATGATTTAACCGCTTCAGTTTAAGAGGATATTGACTTATTTTCGGATCGCTACTCAAGTCAAGTACATGTACAAGTCAACTATCATTATATGTAATCAACTTAAGCCATTTTAAGCAGGCTAGAGTTCATACGTTAATAAAAAATGTTTTAAAACGTAGCAGTGTAAAATTTGGTATACAGAAAAAAAAGATATTCATGTCCTATGAACATTAAACACGATGAAAAATATCTTCGGAAATGCTCTCTTTCACTTTTTATATTTTTGATATTATTAACTGAGTTACTATTACTCGCTCTATTACTGGAAGATAAACAATATTCTAGTTGTTATGTGCATGTATTTTTAAAATTTCCCAAATAAGAACGGTTCACATTTTTTATTCGATTAAATTCATACATAAGTCGGTATAGATCTTGCTGCTTAAACATATTATAATAACGCGTGAACTCACATAAAATGAACTAAAAAGTGAAATTAGTCATTTAGTGTATTTTCACTCAAATGTGAAAACGTTAAAAGGGGGATAATAATTATCAGATCATTCGTTTGATAAAGGGGTTGCTCGTAAAGTGTAACCTCCGGCAAAACTCGTGATTATACAGGTCCGATAAGCACAAGTTTACACGGATAGCTTGGTAGGTTTATATTGTACGTAAGTACGATTGGTAAATGCATCAATAGAAAATGTTTTTAATAATACGTACATATGTTTACATGCAAGCATTTACTTTGTTGTCGATCATCAATTAATTCACGTATGTAGACAGATTAATCACATGCCCATATATTAATATTGTTTCATTATCATTTTCATCGTTCGGAAGGGTAAATTAATAATTCACTGGCGTTTAAAATATTTGTGTTGGTTTTTTCCCCACAATATAAGTAATATTTTGAAATGAATACCGATAACCGTAAAACCGATCTCTTTTTATATTTCACAATACGAGTATATGTTATTATTTATGTTATATAACTATCGACTATTTATGCAAAATTATAAGGAAATAAATTATTAATTTTCTCTGTTTCAAACATCTATACATTTGAAATTAAGCGAGAGAAAATTCATACAATGAAAGCTCATTTTACCTTAAATTGGCTCTTATAATTGCGGAAATAGATATTGTAATACATGTAATTGTTATCCTAAAGCTGTTGATAGGGTTGAAAAATGGCTTGTAAATAGATATCAAAATGTGTCAGAGGAACTTAAATATCATGTAAACTAAAACAATAGCAGAAGGTATAATAATGAGCCGTGTCATGAGAAAACCAACATAGTGCGTTTGCGACCAGCATGGATCCAGACCAGCCTGCGCACCCACGCAGTCTGATCAGGATCCATGCCGTTCGCTTACACACCCTATTACAAGTAGAGAAACTGGCAGCGAACAGCATAGATCCTGATCAGACTGCGCGGATGCGCAGGCTGGTCAGGATCCATGCTGGTCGCAAACCCATTATGTTGGTTTTGTCTGGCTACACTTATTGAAACTATTAATTTATGTTTTATCATTTCATTTTCGGTCTCAAAATAAAGATCACATTTAACCTATAAATTGGCAGAGGTTATAAACATTTGAGATCGGCCTCCCAGCTCAGAAACGAGCCCCGTGCTCAACTTTGAGATCAAACTCAGGAAAGATGAGGTTATAAAAAATGAGTTTGAGTTCAGTCTCATGTTGAGCTCAGGTAAGGAAAAGACGGAAAAATAAACTACTCTCTACCTATTTTTGAAAACATGGAGAGAAGGAAAAAACAAGGATTCGTTGACATTGATTATGAAGTTTTCGTCCCTGAAATAAGCAAACTTTTCAAAGTCACTGCGTGGTAGCCAACTCGTTAATGGGCTCAGTGATCCAAATTCATAATAATATTGTCATGATATTGTAAGATAATGCAGAGTTTAATGAATTCTATAAGACAGTTTTCATTCTGCCTATTTGATTATATTTAACCGTCTAGAATACGCCCTTAACTATCACGACTTATGTAAAACGTTAACTACATAACAGAAATATGCCACCATAATTATTTAAAAGAATGTTAAAAACAACAAAAAGGTTTAAGTTGATTAGAAATGTAAATTAAATTTTCGTGAGCAAAAAAGCGATCCTAATAACAACAATAAAATGCTAATGCAAAATAAGTACGGTGCAATACAAGTTGCCTGAGCAACTAACCACGGCGAATTAAATGGATCACTGTAGCTACATCATGGGCACTTGAAAAACTTTACCAAATATATATATCTCAAGAACAATGCAGTTTATTTTTAAAATTCAATCCCTCTATCTATCTATAAAATGTTGTGAGATGATATAATAGCATTTACTACACATTGCATTCATTTGTTTTTCAAGCAAACTTAATGTGTTCGCTTAATTATATGAAAAGAGAGCCCATACACAACCAAGGGACAGAACTATAACTCGACAGTTCACTGTTATATGTACTATTTATTTTTCCTTTAATTGACAACAAATAAAGAAATTGATTAACAATAATGATGCAACAATGACCCGTCTGAACAAACAAATGTTATGAAATACATAAAGTTAAATATTGCTTCGTCAATTGAACAGCATGTCTTTGAAACTCAATAATACATACATATATTATTTACTTATTTGACAGACATATTGAAATATTTCAAATTATTTTCATATAATTGCTTATATGAAAATTTGCATTTATTCAAATAAACCATATTATCATTATCATATATGAAATAATCTATGTTTCCTTATCATATAATGTACAAGAATTTGCAAAAATGAAATTCAATGTTATGATAATATAACAACGTGTGAGTCAATCTAGTTTTTAATTGCATTTGTATCAATCACGATTTTTTTGCATTTGTTTCAATCACGATTTTAACAGTATTTGTATCAACCACGGTTTTACCTGCAATTGCCTCACACACGCTTTTACCGGCATTTGTATAAATCACGCTTTAATCTGCATTTGTATCAATCATGATTTTACCGGCATTTGTATCAATGTTAACGTAAAATACTAATCGACAGCGACGATGTTTAAAAGTAGAGCTTTGCTTGCCTATGTGTCCATGCCATCTGGACCATAAAAAAGTTAAATTCTTCATGCCGATGCAAACCATTGGTAAACGTTTCTGTTATTATTATCAATATTTATGTGCATTTACGTAGCCATTTATTTTCCTCTATAATATTACCATAGCAGTAACCCGACAAATTACATGCACTTCAAAATTCCCTTTTTGCAATGCTCTGATTGTTAGCAATATTCTAAACTTAAAATACACACGTTCTGGAATTCTCCATATTCTCAACAGACCAGCCATAAAATATATTGAGATCCATAAAATGATTTACACATGTAACCATCGAAATAAACAAATCATCTGACACAAGCTTGAACAATCTTTGGTGGCTTGCGCTTGTCACTTGCTACTTTGTCTAATATTGCCGTTATTGCATTACAATGACATGTTGTTAAACTCTTTTGTCAAATATGAAAACGATTATCTTGACAACAAAGCAATATCTAATTGGGAAATTTATGGTTGAAATAAACATTTCACTTTGTATCGCACACTCCCGTTCAATGCTATAAATGAAAGACTAAACATTGTAAAATACCTTCCACTAACTATAACAAAAAGGCTTTTGTGGAATCAGTTTCTTTAAAAACATTCAATGATAAAGCGCATACATCTTTCAGATTTCGAATTCTTATGTCCATGAATTGTCATTGCAAATATTGATGCCCCTTAATATTGATACCTATTATTTCACATACTACAAGTATTCAAGCGATCAAGTATTCAATGGATCATAACGGTCGTCATTAGTCTATCCCTGATTTTCAATCTTAGATCAGAATTATCAGTTTATTCAAATAATCTAGACCAAACACTCAATATAATCATGTAAATAATGTACCCGATAAATGAAATTGCTTCAAGAGCACTTACGAAAGAAATATTTGTTTTAGATCTAGGGATATATCAAAGTTGTGCCTCATCATAGCCTACGCCGCTACCATCATTATCCTCAACATTCGAAGTTTTTGGCCTAGCTCCAACAGACTCATATGGTGGAACCTCGGGTGATAACTCTAGTCCTTGATTAACCACACCTTCAGTGTTTTCGTTGTTTAAGTTTGAAAATGTTGCCAAGTATTTTGCAAGTTCAGGTAATGTATTACTGTCAAGAACGAAAATGCCATCAGACGGTTCTTTGGAATCAGACGACTTGCCTTTTAAAATACTACTAGGGAGATACACAGGTTGTACTGGATGACATGTTTTTTCCCGTGATGTTGCTTCAACTAATGCATGTGCAAGATCCTGAATTATTTTTCCCGCTGGAATGTCATCTGCTTGTTCAACAACCTGATTTTTGTTCGCCTTCTTTTTCGAAACCGTCTTTGGATCTCTCTTCGCTGCCTGTTCTTCTTCGAGTTGACGAAGACGAAATTCCATGTCAGCGTACATGGAGTCACTGACATTGCTCATCTCGCTACTAACGCTGGCACCTGTGACACTGGTTACACTCCTTTTACTGGCATTTCGGTCCTTAAATGAAGTACCTGTAGACAGTGCGGGCTTTTCTTCAGGTTTACAGCAACAAGTCAGCCAGGGCGCATGCGACTGCAAAGCAGCTCTAAATTTAGGATGACTGAGTGCGTAAACTAGAGGATTATGCATCGCGGATGCCTTTGCAAACAGCACCGGTATTTCTGCCCAAAATGGTGTAACGAATGATGCATCGCCAAACATTCCAATCAAGGCGACTGTAGCATATGGCATCCATGACAAAAGATACAAGACAAGAATCGACATTGCTATTTTTGCTACCCTGATTTCCATATTTTTCTTGTCCTGATTCGAACGCATTTCTGCATTCAACTTCTTAGCTGTTTTCTTCATTTCATTCTCGTGTACCTTGACGGCCCTTATGATCATTGCATAACAGAGGATGATAATACCAAGTGGCACCGCAAAACCGAAAATGTAGAGGAAAAATATGAAGGTTATGTTATTGTTTGTGCGTGTGAGATAGTCGTATGTGCAAGATGTACCAAATCCTTCCGGAATATACCGACCCCAACCAAAGATAGGTGGAAGTGCGCTAACAAATGACCATATCCAAACAGTTACAATCATAAGAAACGCTCGTTTCCGTGTCATGAATTTAGCTACGTGTAGAGGACGAGCTATAGCGTAGTAACGGTCAATTGCTATTGCCACCATGGTGTTTATTGACATCAGCCCAAAGATTCCACCAATCAAACCATAGAATTCGCATGCTGAAATCAAACAATCAAAGATCTGGTAACCTTCTTTCTTTACAGCAAAAAGAATAAAGGAAAAAAAAGGAAAACCCCATAAAGAATTAATAAAATTATACCTGTTAATTAAAAATGGTTACATACTTGTATTTCCTTAGGAGCTGCTTTAATTAAAATGTACCGATTAAATAATAATTAACCATTGAAATGTTGAACAAATGTGTTGCATTTAATAATTTTTATATATAAAAAAACTGTCATTCCATACCAGCTGTCCCAAATATCCATCTTTTGTTAAAAGCTGAGATGCTGAACAGGGGAAAACCATTTACAACTGAGAACGTAAGGTCACTGATGGCGAGATTTACAATGAACATATTCGAAGATGTCCGTAACGACTTTTCCCTAGAATATCACAACCAATAACAATAAGAAAATCGAGGAAAAAAGAAAAGAAAATACCAAATCATGTGGACAAATCTCAAATTATACAGGAACCATATTCTGACGCACACAAAATATCAAGATATAAAGAAAACCCCGTAAAACATAGCCTTTATAGGTACTTGAGTAAATTTGATAATTTCCAAAAATATAGAGTAAGAAGATACGCCGCATACCTTGTAAACATCCAAATAACGAGGGAGTTTCCAATGATCCCTGTTATTCCAACACAAGTTATAATTATTCCAATCAAGTAATGCCATTCGTCTGAAACTATAGGGAAATTTTTCCAGTGCGGATGTATGAAAATACCATACGTATCAAATAAATGGGTTGTCGTCTCCGCAATATTAGTTGAAAGATCTGTTGCAGTTGACATGACTGCCGTAGCCACACTTCCACTCATCGTTGTGTTTGCAGACCAGGTCGTGTCTGGCGCTTCGGTCGTGACGTCTAATGTTGATGTTACATCAAAGACCTGAATATGGTTTGTATCAAAATATCATTTTGCAAGAAAAGCTACTGTGTCCTATCAACAGTATCAAAAGAATTCGACAAAGAATGTGATAAATATTCTTTCGAAAAGTTTAGTTTATACGCCAATTTCTTAATTCTTTCTGAATCTTCTGTATGACAGTTAAAAATTTCAGCATGCATTGTAAATGATAATTTAAATCTAATTATTTTAACCATGACATTAATTTGTACAAGGAACTTTTGAAAAACTTACCGTTGTTTCAGACGACACGTTCATTTTTCTTTATTCCAAATGAAATAAAGACACTGAAATGTAACAAAGCATGGTTTAAACATTCTGCAAATTTTAGTTGATTTCTTTTGTTTTAGAATTAGAAAAAATCAATTTGTTAATTACTTAAACAAATAAATATCTGTATTTTAAGCTTATATACAAATTGATTAATACATTTGTATCTAAAAGCGATTAAAACTGTTTTATGTATTATAAACAAAAAAATAATTGTAAGCATTTTATTGGTGCATTTTCATATGCAAATACCAATTTTATGAGACAAAAAACAAGGTCTTATAACATATTCTCATATTGTAATAAAACAAAACTTACAATTATTCTTTTCCTCATTAAGTGTCCAACTTGAAAACCAGTGTCGAATATAGAGCCCCATGCCTGAAGAAAGATCTTTTATTACGATGCGTAAAATAATCTTTTTGGTCTCCACCTTTAATTAATTATTTTTACCCTCGCGCGTTCCGTGTATTGAGAGCGTCTTTTCTCGACATTACGTGAAATGAGTTAATTAAAATGATGTTTTCCGCCACGAGAGTGGCTTTTCATTAAGAATTGGTGAGAAAATAAGAGGATTGCTTTTGTTTTTTGTTACCCAAGAATAATTACAGTTGGGCTTACTTCGGATTTATTGCATGATTTATATGTTAACATGTGTTTTGTAGGCCATACGCTTTTTGAGTTTCGTAACTATTCTGTTGTTCTTTCATCTTTAAATTCGTATTTATGTTTGCGAGAGTTTTTTCCAAATGAACAAATAAAAGATCCGCCAATAACTAATTAATGTATTGAAAACTTTGCGATAATAAAGTACATTATGGTGGCAGAACCCGGAATATATACCGAATGACTGATGGTCAGATTGATCGTTCTAACATTAATCAAATAGCTTGCTGGTGATTTAATTCAATAGGTATAAATGAGATATTTAATTCGGTTACAAATTGCGATATTTGTCAAGCAATGTTTGAAAAAATTCTACGAAGGCCGAATATTATTTTCTGTATCAATTATACTCTCCAAATTCTCAATATCAACATTATTGTCTATGCTGCTCAGTTCAGTTTCGATGTGCTGTGTTCCATGATAGGTTTTGGATGAAACTGGAATATATCAAGTTAAGTAACTATCACATTCAATCTTTATGTCCTTGTTTCAAAACCAAAGTACTTACATCACTCTAAGTAAGACATGAAGTGTCATATGAAAGAGCTTCGAGTGATGTGAAAAAGACAGCATGCGAATTTAAATCACGTGATTTGACCCAACTAAGCTAGCAACACAGTAATTTCAAATCGGATTGGCAGTGACATAAAACAAAATTCAGAAATTTAATTAACTTAATACGTTATTTTTTACAACGCCTTTATAATCATCTTTGATGGATTAGAAAGAAATATCGTTAATTATTACTTCACTGTCTACTTGTATTTTGTATTGTTTAAAAGGGTTTATATGTACACAAAAGTACAAGTAATTTTGATTAAATATTTAAGTTGATAACAAATGTATTTCAACAGAAAGTATGATCAAGAATACACTAAATGTGATATTTTATTCAGCAAACATTGTCGTATAAAATTAAGAGATTAAAGAGAAAATAAATAACATCAATAGATAATCATAAAGACGTTTACTTATATGTTTAAAGATTCCCAAAATAAATATTTCTGTTCACACATTATCGAATCCAAACATAAACTTTATATTTAATACTTACCTATAAAACTATTAAAATATTATATTACACATTTATTATATTATAGTCAAATTATATTATTAAAAAGCGTTCATACCTGAAACTTATTTTATTTCTTAGTACTGGTAAACTACACAATGTTGTTAGGTGCATTTTCTGATATTTCTTACATTAGGCACAACTTGGTTTGACATTGAAAAGCAATCACTTAGGGTTGAGAATAAGCTGATGTAAGCCGAACTCTATTGTTACACCCTGATTGTAATCTTTTCTTTGACAATAAAATCGCATTACAGTTGCTTGCCTGTGTCTGTACTCTTCTTATAAAAAGTAATCATAGAAGTAAAGTATCGACTGTAGCTATAAATATATGTTCATGATTGAATGTCATCACTCGATTGTAAACAGGCATTGAAGAATATGCGTATAATACTAAACTATTTAAATTTCATGTTTTGAAGGTAAAAGAAATCAGGATAGTAATTATAGATGTTAAAAATCCATTGTATGTACTTAAAGTATAACTTGCGTACCATACAAAACAAAATGATTTGAAAATTTCCTTTGGCATTATAAACAATTGTATTTCCGGTTTTTATTTAAAACATGAACAAGATTAAAGTGCAATGAACTAGTTTAATATTGATTATTAATATAGTTGTGAATTTGGGTTATTTTTTTTTAACATAAGGAATGTGAAATCAATTTTATATCTATATAATAGATGCGGATACATTAAAGAATTATAATCTATTCATTATTTGTAAAAGATTTATAAATGAATATAATATAAAAATATAGTTCAGATTTTACCGAGTGGAAATCAAAATTGCGTCGCACTTAGGTATATCGATCTAAGCACAAATTGACTAATGATATATTTTGGAAATATCTTGTAAATAAGTCAGGTAAAGTAAGGGTAGAGGTTACAATCACATTGGACTCAGATGACTTAATGTTACATCATTGGTTTAAAGCGAACGCGATATCTTATTTTGATATCATGTGATGACAGTTTGCAAACAAGAATACGGTCCTAACCACTTAATCACAAGGTTACAACCTTGTTTATGTTGATTACGATAAAACTGGGTGCGAGCGGAAGGAAAAGGGCGATAGAATGCCCATAGTATGCCCGAATTACTCCATTCTGCATCACGAATGTTGTGAAGTCGTGTTTGTTTTGGCGTGAAAGAAAAACTTCCCAATAGGGTCTAAGGGTGTACAAACAGATGTTTTCAAGGATGAATAAAAAAAATATTCGTTTACTGTCCCTTAATATTTCAGGAATATTTTGCTATGATCAGAGAATATTACTTATAGTCTCAACATTTAGATTATGGTTATAATGTTTTGTTAAAGATATTTTACCATAGTTTTCCCCGCCTTTTTCATACTTTGAAATTGCAACCTTGTTGAAAAATTAATGTAAAAATAATACCCATCGTCAAATATACTCTAAATCTTTCTCAACAATATCAAGGTTATTCAAATGTGAATGACGTTGACGAATGAACACTTGCAGACCTTTTGTCTTTTCTCATTTAAGATATTGTTTTCTAACACAGCGATGTGGCCAAAAGCCGATGGCTTCATCTATAATTACATTCCGAAATATTGTTGGTTAGTTAATTGTTAGATCTACTAATAGAAATTTTGAATCTGACCAATGCTAGAACTTCGATTCGACAAATGTTTCTTTAAAACTCGTCGTACGGCATATGTAAAATGCTTCGATAGTGTACCTAATTCGCAAGTCAAATAAAATAAATCAAATATTTACCAAAACGTAAAAGCTTACTAATTCTTCAATCAAAAGAGAACCATTTAGTTCAGAAATAAATAAACAAATAACGTGACGTTATTCGTGTCAAATCATATCAAAATTTCTTAAAGCATTTCGATTTCATTCAAAAGATAATTTTTGACAAATTTATTTGATTATTTATAATTGATATGACTTTCACAAATATTGGTCGTAATAGTTCATTGGCTATCTTGAAATGTGTTTACGTTTACGTATATAGAAAAACTGTCTGATAAGCTGTGTCTTAATACTCAAAACTTTCAGGACTCCCTCGTTGAGTAATAAAGAAGGCTTGACAAAAATGTGTGACATTCATAAACATGCGAGTGATTGAGTGCAACTGCTGATTTTTTATGTTTGTAATCGGTATATATAAAAGAAAAAATGAAGAACCGGGCATTAACCCTATCACCTTAAAACAAACTCAGGCACTGGATTGCAACTAAGAGTAACATATATTGAATGATATAAGATGGTACAGCTATATGGAATTAATCTATATGTAACAATTACTTTAGTGTTAGAAATTTTTCAGACATCTGGAACGGACTTGCCTCACGAAGGTGAGTCTTTGTCAGTTAATGAGAAAAAAAAAAAAAAAAAAAAAAAAACAATTTAAAAATGTTTAGTAAAAAAATCCAGAGAAATAAAATGATTAAGACTCATGATAAATATAAAGAACTTGATAAAGAAACATTTTAGACAACTGGCGGTAAGTGCCACCTACTTTTCTATCAATTTTGGTATTCTGTGACAAGCAGACTATAAATATTTAAGAAATTATAGATTGAACTGTATTTTTATGTGACTATTTTTCGCGAAGAAAATATATTGTAACTTACTGCCATATTTTAGCTGAGATATCCAACAACTGTCTTAATTTAAGATTCTGATTTTGGCCGGACAAAGACATAAGTGTAATGTCTATTATTTTATATGAATTTGGTAGTTTAGTTTAAACATATTTTATTGCATTAAATACATGTTTACAAACATATCATACAAAGAATGAGTATATATCAAAATGCAAATGGGTTGGGCAACAAGTTCTTACAACATTAGATTAAGCCCTTCTCAGAAATTAATATTACAGAAGAAAATACTTTAAGGCAACAATGATTACATTTAACATGCATATAAACTTTAAAATATGTATTTCATTTTGAACAGTTCATTTATTCATTAAAAGTTAATGTACAATTTTGATTTTGAAGTGCGATCCATCCACAGGTTGCCATCCTGATCTCACTGTAGTTGTTAAAATAGTTGAAGTTTGGTTTTTGGGGAAAGATTGGTAATGAATATTTGTTATTTGATTAAGTAGGATTAGAACAAATAAGCCAATATAGATGACAAATTTTAGAATAAAAACAAAATGATAGATAGATATGTACTTTTTTAACTGATTCGAAAATGACAACGTTACCTTCGTATTCTAAATTTTCACGACCGAACAATAATGTATCAATTTTTAATGGATGACAAGACCGTGTTTCGTGAAAGAGTATTATTCGTTGTTCAACGTAACGATATTTTCAATCACAATATCACATTGACAAAATGGGTCTTCGCGCAAATGGTTATTATATAAATCGTTATTTAAATTACTACAATTATTTCTTAAACATGTATGCAATATTGATAAGTATCTCTGGCCATAAATATAATGCTTCGGAACCGTTGGTGCTTTAAAAAGATTTTTCAGTCTAGATTTGAATATGTTGAGTGTCTGAGAGTTTCGTATATTGGGGTCGAGGTTTTTCCATAATTCTAACGAGGATGGTAAAAACGATGCATTATATAATTGAGTGCGTCTATTTAAAGTTACATAGTTGTTATTATTTCGCAAAGGATAAGAAGTAGTTTCTGATACAGTAGGCGGAAACAAAGAA